GGTTTTAAACCACAAGCAAAGAACTGTAGGCCTGTCAGGATCATATCATGGGGGGGGGGTAGAGACTCTATAACAATATGGAGATCTCTAGACTTAACCCAACCAATGATAAGCCTGCTCATGGATAGCCCTCCAGGAAATGTCACAGGGCACAGATACTCGACCTTGAAACTCTCTGAGCCCTTTGATCTCTTGCCCTCTCCAGCAGACATCTGGGCTGTGCCAGTGATTGAAAGGCAGCCTATAATCCACCTACTCTTGACTATACTATGCCCCCCTCCATAGCAACCATACAAACATGAGGTCCAACTCAGGCATTAGCTCCAAGAGTGCTGCACTGGATTTCCCTGTATGAGACCTGATACCTTCAGTCCAGCATCCCATCTCCAATTGGTGGCTGGGGAAGAAAGAAGAAGGAATTCTCCATCTCTGCCTAAACCTTCCAAAATCCATAAGGCCATCTCCTTCCAGTACTCTGCCTTGTTATTAATGTAACCACCTTATATTTGACAGTAATTTTTAACTGTTGGTCAGAATTAGTTGCAGAAGACACTAATTACATTAAGGATGGAAAATGTCCTTCTTCTTTTTTTTACCCTGGTCTCCATTCAGAAAGATCACTCTGATTTTAAGTCTCGGTTTTGAGACAAACCAGAATGGAAACACAATGTTTGGAGTAAAAATTATCGCAATTCCAAAAGCCAGGCATTTCAAGCTTGGCTCCCGCCTTTCCGCAGAAATGTTACTGCCAACATCATTAAAGGAACGTTAACGAAGCCACTGGGATAACCTGAAATGCTATCTGTTCCCTGAACCAGTTGGAACTCCCCCCTGGTTGTGTAGATAACATTAAGCACATGGAGAACATCATTAAAAAAACAGACATTTCAGCAACAACCAAAACTCCAGTGTGATTAAAAATAGCTAGAATTTTGAGACCGTTTTTCAGACATGTAACAGTGACCCCACTCAACGTCTCACTCAGTTTTAAAGACTCTTCACCTGATACAATTGCACAAGATGAACTTTGACAGCATTTTTATTTCCTACCTGTCAATGATCACGGGATCTGAGGGAGTTTCGTTGCGGTTTCCGCAGCTTTTCTTCTCGCAGCAACGGCTGGAGATGGAAGGGAACGCAATAGACAAAGAGTAAGTCTGACAGAACTTTTATATCAAGAGCACAACAAACTATGGTTAACGTACTCATGTCCTTGGGAGTCCATAGATTTCTCCTTGTTGAACATGCAATAAAAATTGAAAATACTTTTCCAAAGTGTGGCTGTTGGGGTGCAGCTATTTTCATGGCCTCAAGTGAAACAAGGTACAAGATAACTAGGAATCCTGGAGAGCCTTTTTTTTTTTGGCCTCTTCTGTGCATAGAGCAGGGATCACTGTGGGTGTGGAGGGAGAGGTATTTGTGAATCTCCTGCATTGTGCAGGGGGATGGACTAGATGACCCTGGAGATCCCATCCAACTCTATGATTCTATGATCCCACCCCACAAAAGGGAGAGTTGTTTTGGGGCATGTTGTCTGCTATCAAAGCACCTGTCCCCATTCTTTCCTTCATAAAAACCATCTCATTGCACTCAGATATGAAGCTGCCTCATGTTGTGTTAAGATTTTAAACAAACGTACTAAATACAATGGATTAATACTCTAGCCTCACTACAAGACTGGCTTACAGCATATTAAGATAACAACAAATACATACCTATGAAATGCCAACCCCAGAAGCACTATTGCAATCTGATACATATTAGCCAAGCAAAAGACTTGAATAAGAAAGCTACCCAACAATAAAACATGCACACACACACACAAAACATGCGTACACACACAAAGGCCGGGCAGAAAAGGTACAGTAGTTAAAACTCATCATATTGTATGCCACTCTTCCTCCAAGAAAGGTAAAGCATACCCCTCAATCCTTACAACTACCCCAGAGAAAGATAGAATATGACTAGCCTATGAACTTGATAGCAGAGCAGGGATTTGTACTTGGGTGTTCCTGGCTGTAGTTCACCCAGAACCACTATACCACTCTGGTTCCACCACTGGCCTGAGCAATCCAAGACAGCACACGTCCACCCAGACCTGGGAAGACTTGAATAAGAAAGCTACCCAGCAATAAAACATGCACACACACACACACAAAGCATTAAAATCTACACTAGTATATGAAAGACTGGGCAGATAAAGTACAGTAGTTAAAACTCATCATATTTTATGCCACTCTTCCTCCAAGAAAGGTAAAGCATACCCCTCAATCCTTACAACTACCCCAGAGAAAGATAGAATATGACTAGCCTATGAACTTGATAGCAGAGCAGGGATTTGTACTTGGGTGTTCCTGGCTGTAGTTCACCCAGAACCACTATACCACTCTGGTTCCACCACTGGCCTGAGCAATCCAAGACAGCACACGTCCACCCAGACCTGCAGCAGCTCTTGAAGATCTTGGGCAGAAAAATTTCTTACAATATCTTCCATGTGTAATCCTTTTAAATGAAAATGCCAGGGATATTCCATGTGCAAGGCATGTACACTTCTGAGAGATGAACTTAGTCACCTCTTGGATATGCACGACTGTCACAAAACCTTCCTGTGGTCCTTTTTGTTCTGCTGTTGTCACCAGCAGCCAGGACTAGAACTGGGGGACTCCTGACTGGTCCTTGGGATAAATCAATGGAACCCACTAAAATGGGCTAGGAAGCATTCTCAGACAGTGGATATTATATATAAATACAAATAGAGCATGACTCTCTCACAGCAGAGTCGCCAGGCCAGGAGGAACCATTCAGAGAGGCTCAGTGGTGAATCTAGGCCTGCCTCTCCATAGAGAATAAATGACCATGAAATATTATTTGTTGCTTCACACTATATAGTTATAATGATTAAAAACGGAGGGGGGGAAACCCTTGTTTAATGTTAACTGATGCAAGACTCTTGTATTGTAAGTTTGGGAGGCAGAAAGCACATGGGGAGAGTTTGCAAGCTTTTCCTGATATCTACCTGAAGCTTTGAAGTGGGTCCCAAGAGTTAGAGTAAATTTAGTGGTTGGAGTACCCAACCAGGAACTGGGAGACTAGAGGTTCAAACCATCACTCCGCCTTGACAGCTTGAGCCAACCAGTCTCTCTCGGCGTCACCTACCTCACAGGGCTGTTTTGTGAGGATAAAAGAGAGCAGGGGAGAATGATGTTGAAAGCTGCTTTGGGTCCCCACTGGGGAGAAAATCTGGTTATAAACAAACAACAGATAAAAATAAAAGGGTTGAGGCTTAAGAGGACCCAGCTGCTGCGTGAGAACTATCTGCCCCTTCTACAACAACAGGAATGCTGAAATACAGCAAACCTTTCAACACAATAGTACAGTAGCAGAGACACTACCAAAAGCACCTTTCCTTCCCTGAAGCTAGGAGAACACTGACTCCTGGTTACACAGGATGCTTCTTAAGGTGCCAAAACCCCTTTACAAATAAAGGAAAGAAAGCCACTTCAAGAGGGAGGAATTTAAGCCAGCACAGTGGCTGGAGGGCAATGGGACACTTAACCCTTTCCCTGCCAACTCTCCATTCTGAGTCACACACAAGAGGACCTTTTCCCCACCAGATGCTTCTTGCAAAGTCCTTAAAGAAGACTCCGGTTGCACAGAGGAAATGCCTTTTAGACATTTTTAATTAAGGGGTCACAAACAGGATTAACTTAATTAATTAATTTATTTATTTTTAGGGATGTAGTGGCTAGACTAGGATCTGGCAGATCCAGGATCGAATCCCCACTCATGCCAAGGAAGCTTGCTGGGTGACCTTGGTCTGTCGTACACATGCAGCTGAACCTACCAGACAAACTTGGTGTTGTGAGAACAAAGTGGAAGAAATGATATGTGCTGCCCTGTGCTCATTGAGGTATGGGGAAGATGGGGGGGGGGGAGAACTAAAAAAATTAAGGATCATTATCAGCTACTGAGTCTGAAAAATGCAACCTATTGGTGAGACAAAACCCCCCCAAAAAATCACTTTTAGTATAAGTTTAACTTATAAGACTACAATTGTAAGCAAAATTATATTAGGGCTGTCAACCAGCTCAACAGTCCTAATGGATCACCTGCCTTTTAAGTGATTGAGGAAATGTAAATATTTACATGTGCCCCAAGTCTCAGTAGAGGTTCTTAAGAACAAGTGCAAAGGAAAATAATTTCACAATAAGCAAAATCTAGCAGCCCTGATTAGGAATGACCCCTGTAACATTATCTTTCCTCCGTTATGTCTTAATGCTTCAAAATAGCCTCCTGAAATAAGAGTGTGCTCTAACTTGCCCCCCACACCAGTCCTCCTAATTGCCCCCTACTGATTAATCAACTGTGTTACATGCAAGTGTAGCCAAATGAGATGACAGAAGAGAATGGTCAGCTTTAGGTCAGAGATCACACTTTTTAGTGCTCCTCTATATAAAAGCCACCCTGTAAGTAGAAAACTAGCACAACAGGAAGCCTACTAAGCTAGGACTTCATGCCCAGTGGGCTAATTTTCTACAGCACATAATGGCTTGCTTATATAGGGAAATATTTTAAAGCCCTAAAATCTACCTGCAGGCTGGAGATGGACAATCCATTCAGCTAACTCAACATTTTATATTCTGCATATGTAGACCAGATCTTACACTAGAGTAAGCACCACTCAATACAGTGGCGTTTACTCCCAAGTAAACATTCATTGGCTCAGACCACTCAAGTAGAGTTGCCAGCCTCCAGTACAGCCTAGCGATCTCCTGGAATTACAACTGATTCTCACACTACAGAGATCAGTTCTCCTGGAGAAAATGTCTGCTTTGAAGGGTGGACTCCATGGCATTGTACCCTGCTGAAGTCCCTCCCCAAATCACCACCCCAAATCCCCAGGAATTTCCCAATTCAGAGTTGACAACCCTACAAGTCAGGGGTGTCAAACATAAGGCCCGGTGGCCAGAACTGGACCATCCAGGGCTCTTACCTGGCCCGCAAGCAACTGGTATGGATGTCAGTGTAAAGTATTCCCCCTTTTATGCTATCCCTTGGGGGAAAAAACCTAGTCTTGCACAGGGGTCATTTCGTAGAAAAAGAGGTGCAGGAGCTCATTAGAATAACTCATTAGCATAACTTATTTGCATATGCCACTCCCCCTGACGTCACCGGAAGTGTGTCAGAAGGCAACACCCACCGCTCAGGATCCACTAGACTCTTTTGGATTCCTAGCTATTGGGGGTGGGGGAATGTGCAGAGGAGGGAGAACTTGTACCTGAATAAAACTTGGTCTTAAAGGTGCCATTGGACTGTTTTGGACCGGGGAGGGGGCTCTGCAGCTTACCTGGCTGCTTCTTGCTCTGACTGAGGGCTGCTGGGAGCAGGGGGCAGGGCTTGTTGCATGTGCCCGCCCCCTGGGCTCTTTACTGCCAGAGCTTCGCTCCTGTGTGCTCCTGCAGGAAATGACCCCTGGTCTTGCATATGATTAAATACATTTATTGGGGCTTTTGTGGGTTCCCCAGTAAATCAATTGCTTTCACTGCTAGGAATCAATCACTTTTGTTTGTATTTTGAGTAAAAACTAATATAGTTAGTTGGGTTTGCCTGTGTCCTTTATAAAGTTTATATCTCCAGTACCTGGTGTTACATTTTATGGTACACACGGCCCGGCCCGACAAAGTGACAATAATGTCAAATCCGGCCCTCATTACAAATGTGTTTGACACCTCTGCCATAAGTGATCTGTTTTTTGGTAGTCAAAGTTTACAGCCCTACCTACATTTTTTTCTGTAGTTCCTTCCATTTTTGATTCAACATAATTAATGACTGTAGCAAGCCAGCTGACTCAGTATTGACAGCCTCCAAGTGGGGCCTGGAGTTCTCCTGGAATTACAACTGATCTCCAGACTATATAGACCAGCTTCAGAGGGTGGACTCTATGGTATACCACAGATTCTACTCGAAATCCCCCCATTCCCTCTTCTATAGGCACCACCCCCAAATCTCCATGAATTTCTCAGCCCAGAGTTGGCAACACTACTTTACCACCCAAACATAATATGTTCAGACCGAATAACTAAGTCAGAGGCCAGGTAAAATCTCAAGGGCTCCTTGTG